ATGGAGCTGTAGAAGTTCTATAAAGAAGACCACACCTTCTACAAGATCATTGTGGGTGATTTTAATGCCAAGATAGAACCGAGAAGATCAGCTGAAGAACTTCACATCGGGATGCATGGCCTGGAACGAAGAAGGTGAGAGACTGTCTGAGTTCATCATGTCGCCCAAGACCATCCATGGTAACTCACAGTTCCAGAAGGCAGAATCTAAACATTGGACATGGGAGTCTCCCAGTGGACGATTCCACAATGAAATAGACCACATCACATTCAATCGACAGTTTTGCCTGACCGATGTCGCTGTTGTCCCAAAATTTCGAATGGCATCGGACCACCGTCTCCTTCGTGCAAAATTCTACTTCACAGAGCGGGGAGAAAGGGCTGCAAAGTTCAAAAAGAGAACTCCCAGAACAACCACCAACTGGGAACTCTTTAGCACCATTGCGGCAACATGGGAAGATGCCATTGTTGACAACATTGAGGAGGAATACGATCGACTGGTTCAGCACCTCCATGAATGTGTGAGGAACGCCAAGAGAGAGATAGCCACAAAAAAAAATGCCTGTCTTGGAAAATTCTTGAGCTAATTCGCCAGCGTGGTTTGGCGCATGCCTCAGGCAACCGCAAGCTAACGTCTGAGCTCACAAAGCAGTGCAGAGATGTGATCAAGGAAGACCTCAAAGAGAGAAGAGCAGAAGTACTGGTAGATGCGGCAGAAGCCGGGAAAAGTATTCGTTACGCCCGCCTGTCCTTCGCCAACTACAAGACCAAGATGACTGCCCTCCGATGTCCTGATGGATCCATCACATCCTCCAGAACGGCAATGGAGAAGATTATCCATGACTTCTACTCAAATCTCTTTGATAGCCATGACCACTTGCCGACATACCAAATTCCACAGGATGGATATGTCATTCCCAACGTTCTCCCTTCCGAAATCTGACACGCCATTTCGTCGGTAAAGAAACAAACAGCACCCGACCCAGACAAGGTCAGACCTGAACACCTGAAGAACCTGCCATCAGTACTCATCAATACACTGGCTCGGCTCTTCACACGCTACCTGTCTGAATGCAAGGTTCCGTCCCAATGGAAAACCAGCAGGACCGTACTACTGTTCAAGAAGGGAGACATCCATGACATTGGCAACTATCGCCCGATCTGCCTATTGCCTGTCATCTACAAATTGTTCACTCGAGTCATCCTAAATAGGATTGGCAGAACACTAGATGAAGGACAACCATGCGAGCAAGCCGGGTTCCGCAAAGGATTCAGCAGCATCGACCATATCCATACAATAATCAAACTCATTGAGGTTTCTCGGGAGTTCAAGATGCTGCTCTGTTTAACGTTCATTGATTTAAAGAAGGCCTTTGATTCTGTTGAGATGGAAGCGGTCATTGAAACCCTAGCCAATCAGGGCATTTAAGCCCAATACATCAAGATCCTCCTTGAGCTGTATTGCAGATTCACTACCAGGATCTCACCATTCTACAAAGAAGTGATCGTTGATGTCAAGAGAGGGGTTCAGCAGAGTGATACCATTTCGCTGAAACTCTTCAGTGCCACCCTCGAGAACATCATGCGACAACTGGAATGGGAAGGAATGGGAGTGAAGATAGATGGTCGGCAACTACACCACCTCCGCTTTGCTGATGACATTGTTTTAATAACACCAAACATCAGTCAAGCGGCACAAATGCTGGCCGACTTTGACCGTGAGTGTGGAAAGGTAGGACTACAGCTGAATCTTGCGAAGACAATGTTTATGAGAAACAGCCTCGTTCCTGATGCCCCATTTGCTCTCAATGGAACGACCATCTCCGAATGCAACAGCTATGTGTACCTAGGTTGAGAAGTCAACATGACAAATGACCTGGCACCCGAGCTGCACAGGAGGAAGAGAGAGGCTTGGAACGCCTTCAAGAGCGTCGAAGAAATAGCTAAGAGGACGAAGAACCTCCGGCTCTGGGCACATCTCTTTGATTCCACTGTTCTTCCTGCATTAACATATGCCTCAGAGACCTGGGCCCTACGCAAACAAGATGAGAACACTATTCAGGTCTCCCAAAGAAGAATAGAAAGAGCTATGCTTGGAATATCACGTTTCACTCAAATGAGAGAAAAAATCCGGAGTTCCGACATCCGTCGACGATCAAGAATCAGGGACGCTGTCTCATTTGCCAAGGTGTCAAAAATCAGATGGGCTGGTCATGTAATGAGATTTAAAGACAACCGCTGGACTAGAGCTGTTACTGACTGGATTCCATGGGATGTCAAAAGACCACGTGGCTGCCCACATACCAGATGGTCAGATTTCTTCGTGAAGATCATGAACGATCCCAGAGCTAACAGATGCCATTGGGCTACACTAGCACGCGACAGGGACAAATGGAGACGTTACTGGCACCCGCTTGAGCAAATCGATGACTAACGGGAAGTTAAGTGATTAAGTGAATTAGGATGGATTTCTTTAGACTTTTCTTTTTTTTTTTTTGTTAAAATATCCCACTGAGACCACTCTCCGCACACCTGAAGGTACCGACAGAGGGACAAAGCCACGTGGGTTCCAGGGCCGAGATCTCCAAGCCTACGCGGATTGGAGTTGAGCATCCTCCACTCAGATCCTCCAAATTCCAGTAGGCGTGGGTCATCCCCACCAACTCGCCCCCTGGCGCCGTGTAATCCCATCAGCGGCCAAGACTCTGAGACTATAAAAACCAGCTCCCGGAACCGCGCAACATCTTATTATGACATCTCATTCCTAGTTTGACAAACTGGCAGGCTACCGAATGTAGCCTGCCCACACGGCAGAGTCTGGCAAACTCCCTGTGGCGTACCCAATATGCCAAATACCAGTAACAATGATGGGTCTCATTCTCCTAAAGAGCCTTGAATATAACCTCAGGGCCAGGATGAAGGAGACGTTCCTGGGGCCTGCTCGAGGCAATTGACGAATAACAGGATGATCTGTGATCCGAAAATATCCCACTTCCATTTTTTTTTCCCGAACTTTTGGGAATCACACCATAGGTATTTTATTGACTCTCCAAGTTCTTGGAGCAAAGTGATTGTAGCAAGGAGCTGGAGTTAGTGAAGAATCGCTAACTAAAGAGGTCACTAGGCACAGCACATGCTCTATCCTTCCCTGATCAGTCTCCGCCCTGTCCCCACAACTGAGGCGAGCAGTGTAAGGCACCACGCCTCTTTCCAGAGTATGAGCATACTGAAGAGGTTCATTGAAATCATGTCACAGCTAGAGTAAGGCCATGGAGGATAGCCAGGCCTTTGCACAAGGAACTCAGAGCAGGACTCTGCTGAGAGGGAAAAAAAGGAGCAGATGGCCATGTGCAAACCAGTTCACAGAATCTGCTTCATGACAACACTGACAAACCAACAGGACAATCTCCCACAAATGCTACCTCATCATCTACCTGTTGTTTACTGACAGACCCCCTGACCTGTCTAATCCTTCTGTATCCAGTAAAGACCACAGCAAGTGCTGAGGAAACTCCAAGCTCTATTATGCATAGCTTTACACTGATGAGAATTTCCTCCACTGATGCAATTAGCAAATCAGATGGTCAAACACAAATACATTCATCTGCTCATATTTATATTATGAAACTTCATGTCTATATTAAAATATATTTTACATAACATTTTTCTCATGTGATCTTTCAAAAATGAAGAGAATGACTCTATTTTCATTAACTCTTTCCATAGGGGCAGCTACTAGCGAGGTTTGAGGTGGAGGGAGTCGATGAATCTTGGGACTTCAGTGGGTCTAGTGGTTTGCTGCTCATATCTGGTGGTCAGTGCTCTCAGACCTGGTGGTCAGTGCTGCTCAGGGACCACCATACTGTTGGAGATCAAACTCAGGGCCTCCCACAGGCTAGGTATGTGTTCCACCACGTTAGCTCTCTCCAAGACTCCCTCTTTCATTGTCATTATTAATATCTAAAGGAAATGGTAGGAGTCACCTAATAGCCAAATTACATGTATGGCTCTACAGTAGATAATAATTTTATACATATTGTGTAATAATAAAGAGCAAAAAAGAGAGAGAGGATACACATTAAGGTTCATCTTTTCAAAAATTTGGAAATGATTACACAAAAAAGGAACACTTCGGTTGATTCTATAACTACATTGCTCAAATATAATGATAAAGACTTTTTCCCCTGGGGTTGGAGAGAGAGTACAGGATCATACTTGGAAGGAATGTGGTTGCACTCAGTTTGATCCAGCACCAGATGGTCCCACAGAACATGGCCTGAATGAGCCTGGAAGGCCCCTGAACACCACCGGATGTGACCCCGGGTTATCCCCAACCCACATGCTGGGCCCAGGCACTGAACCACCAGCCAGGTTTGTGAACACCTTGGCTGGAGCCCTTGAAGCCTTCTGAGCACCATTTGTGGGTGCTGTCTCCTCCCCCACAAACAAAACCTCTGAAAAAAAATACAAGAAGGAACCAAAGAAACAACAATTCTTCCCATTCGGAAGGCAGCAGGAGGGCAAAATGGGGATCATCTTTGCATGCATTAGTCATGACAAGTGATGGTGAAGAACACACGCACCATTCATAGAGCATGTGTCAAAGAGCGCACACACACACGCACACACACACACACACAGGAGCAGGCTAGAGCCCTTAAAGCCTTCTGAGCATCATTTGTGGGTGCTGCCTCCTCCCCCACAAACAAAAACTCCAAAAAAATATAAAAGGAACCAAAGAAACAATAATTCTTCCCATTCGGAAGGCAGTGGGAGGGCAAAATGGGGATCATCTTTGCATGCATTAGTCATGACAAGTGATGGTGAAGAACACACGCACCATTCATAGAGCATGTGTCAAAGAGCACACACACACACACACGCACAGAGGAGATGGTTAGCAACCAAGGGTCTTAGAAGGGGTCTCCGGATTATGGGATTATGACCAAGGTAGCCGGCCGCGCGTTCCCCGAATTTGGAAGCCCACTTGCGAGCCCTTACCTTGGAGGGCCAGTAAGCTATGAGTCTGCACGATGATGCAGAGCTGAAGCACCAGCTGGGGCGCACTCTCCAGAAAGGTGGCGAGCAAGTGCAGCATACTCACGTCCGCGTACTCATACACCATCTTCCAGTAGAACCTCCAGCGCTCATTCTCCCCACTCTGGCGACTCCGAATACCTAAGTAGATGGTGTGGAAGTATCTGGAGAGAAGAGGACAAAAAAACAAGAACAGGATGAGTCATGATTTAGAATTCAAAGACCAGAGCTCGTTCTCTCTCTGAAAGCTGCCTCCTAAAAGCGCGCACGCACACACACACACACACACACACACACACACACACACATACACACACGAAGCTAGCACCCAAATGGCTTCTGCCTTACGTTTCAGAGCTCAACTATAACTACTGGAGAGCCTGGCAAGCGACCGAGAGTATCTCGCCAGTACACAGTTAACAACGAAGGAGACGTTACTGGGCCCGCTCGAGCAAATGGATGAACAACGGGAGGACAGTACTACAATGCTACCCCTCCCCTTAAATCTTCACTTGGAAAAGTCACGGTGTCCTCATTCTCGGTATGAGGTTGAGTCACAATATGTTTGGAAACTCTAGCATTGGGAAAGACTTGTTTCTTTGATCATCAGTGCATCCCCTGTCTACTCAATTTCTCAAGGTACTCACTATTGTTGAGATGGCTCAATGCAAGTGTGAAGATGGTACAATGCAACTGTGAAATACTAACATGTCTGCATTTATAAACCCTCACGATAGCTTTCAAAGTCATTTTATTAGTGAAAATTCTAAACCTATTCAAAATTGAATTTACCTTTCACTCAGATTAAGCTATTATCAATAATTGCCAATCTTTTCTAATTATGCTTCCATTTACAAACTCCCATTGGTTTATTTTGAAGCAAATCCCTGGCATCATATTATTTAATCTATAAATATTTTAATAAAATAATCCACAAACATAAATGCAATGCCTTTAAAACACAAATAAGGCTAACTTCACTTTAAAAATGTTTGAACTGAATCACTGGGAGACAGACCCTTACAAAGCTGTTCATGATTAAGTTTCAGTCATACAGTGTTCTAACAACCATCCTTCTCTCTGTCTCTGTCTCTGTCTCTGTCTCTTTCTCTTCTCTCTCTCTCTCTCTCTCTCTCTCTCGCTCTCTCTCTCTCTCTCTCTCTCCCCACCCCTCTTTGGGGTATTGTGGTTTGCAATACAGATACTAAAAGTTTGTCAGGAATATTCCTTGACCTACTTTTTAACACTCAGTTCTTGTCCAGTGTGATCATTCCCAGCTATTATGGTCATCCTGGTCTATTCTCTATCTCACCTACCCTCCGCCTTAGACACACTTGTGGTTGATTCTAACCATTGACCTCTCCTACCAGCCCCTGTTTTCCTTGGTGTGGACATTCATCTTCTACTATATATTTTTTACATGCCACAAATGAATGCAGTTATTCTCTGTCGGCCCCTCTTCTCCTGACTCATTTCACTCAGCATGATACTCTCCATGCTCATCCATTTATAGGTAAATTTGTTTTATAGGAAAATTCAATGGCTTTATTTTTCCTAACAACTGCACAGTATTCAATTCTGTAGATGTACCATAGTTTCTTTAACCAGTCATCTGTTCTCGGGCACTCAGGTTATTTCCAGATTCTGGCTATGGTGAGTAGTGATGCAATGAACATAAGAGTGCAGATGGTGTTTCTGCTGTGTGTTTTGGGACCTCCAGGTATATTCCTAGAAGAGGTATTGCTGGGTCAAATGGGAGCTCAATTTCTAGGTTTTTGAGGAATGTCCATATTGTTTTCCAAAAAGGCTGAACCAGTTGGCATTCCCACCAACAATGAAGGAGAGCCCCTTTCTCCCCACATCCACGCCAACACTGGTTGCTTTTGTTCTTTTGTATGTCCGCCAGTCTCTGTGGTGTAAAATGATATCTCATTGCTGTTTTGATTTGCATTAGCTTCTTATAAAAGTCTAAGATTTCCTATTTCCTGTTATCACCATTTTATAAGCTTGTTTGAAATATAATCCAAATAAGATCTGTTTGAAGATAATTTGATATCTTCATAACTTTTAATGCACCATAGATTCCCTTTTTATTATTCTTTGTTTCTGCATATTTTTGATTGTCTATTTGCATGGTATTATTAATCTGTTTTGTGCTTTTTACAATTGAGTAGTGTTGAGATTTTAATGAGAGTCAATGGGCTGGAGCGATAGCACAGAGGTAGGACATTTGCCTTGCGCACAGCCCGGCCTAGCCGAGCCAGGTTCGATTCCTCTGCCCCTCTCAGAGAGCCTGGCAAGCTGTCGAGAGTATCTCGCCTGCACGGCAAAGCCTGGCAAGCTACCCGTGACGTATTCAATATGCCAAACACAGTAACAACAAATCTCAAAAAATGGAGATGTTACTGGGCCTGCTCGAGCAAACTGATGAACAACGGGAGGACAGTGCTACAGTGCTTGGAGAAAGTGATGGTGTATACTATCCTGAGGAGGTATATTATTCACCAACAGTTATCCTCTTTAATGATACCATCATTCATTAATTATCTCCTAGACTCACCCATTTATTAGAAGTTGTGAAATAGTATTAGAGCTGTCACCTTTTTTATCAATTAGAATACTGCTGTAGCCTATTTCAGCATCTCCACAGTATACTGGCTTCCCTGAAACTTCTTCTAAAGCAGATCACTCAAAGGTACACAAGAATGACAGTCTCTGAATTTTTGCATATTTATAACAGTAAGTGGAATTCAACCTTTTCCCTGATGGGGAAAAGGTTCCTTTTCCCAAGTGAACTCTACATGACACGTGTGTTTTGTGGGTATGTCAGAGCTAGAATTCAAGGCCTCATACATGCAAGGCATACATTCTGCCATTTGCGCTAAATTCCTGGTTTGACATGCACCATTTTGTTACAGATTCCTGCCAAATTCTAGGGTATGTGAAAGGTCTGCATTAGGCTAATGAAAAAATTCTGAGATCGCAAGGATGGTAGCAACCATCAAGGAAATGCAGAAAGTTGGGTATATTCTCACTGGTCTGTTTGGATGGTTATATAATTCATGGATATTCATGCATAACTGGAGATCTTAAACTTATTTGGATATATTAAATATAATGCTTTGTTGCTCATAAGCATAAATTATTTTCATGGAAAATCTGGAAAACTGACAGTCTTTCTCTCAAGATCTTCTTGCTGTTTTTGCTTTAGTGGCCAAAAAATATTCTGCTTCATTTCAAAGAGCATAAAATGTGTTAGAACAGATCTTGATATTGGTCATTCTGTATAATGTTTCTTAGAAATATCTCTGCTTCTTCATTATTCACTTCATTTTAATACCTTTAAATTCAGTATTTTTGAATTGTAGCATTTAAAATATATGTATGTGTAGCTATATATATATGTATGTGTGTGTGTATATATATATATATATATATATATATATAGAGAGAGAGAGAGAGAGAGAGAGAGAGAGAGGGGAGAGGTATTTTTTTCCCTTTGAGTTTTTTATTTATATTTGTTGCATCCACATTTTCTAATTTTTGTTTTTTCCTCCACACCTGGCTGTATCAGGTCTTGCTAGTGGCTCTGCATTCAGGGATGGCTCCTGGTGGGGCTCCGGGGACCGTACAGGATGCCGGGGAGTGAATCTGGGTTGACCACTTGCAAAGCAAATGCCCTCCCCACTGTACTCTTCCTCTAGTCCTTTCATCTTCTTATCTACATGCTCCTTGAATACTCTCGATCTTAATATTTTCTAGTAGCACAGCAGGTAGGGCATTTGCCTTGCATGCGGTCAACCAGGGTTCGATTCCTCCATCCCTCTCAGAGAGCCCAGCAAGCTACAAAGAGTATCCAGCCCGCACAGCAGAGCCTGGCAAGCTCTCCATGATTTATTCTATATGCCAAAAATGGTAACAAGTCTCACAATAGAGATGTTACTGGTGCTCACTCGAGCAAATTGATGAACAATGGAAAACAGTGACAGTGCTACAGTACTTTTTTTTTTTTTTTACAACTGCTACATATTTTCAAATAGTGTGTTTGAATAGTTTACTTTTTTGCTTAAGTTTTTATTTTTGAGCTCATTTTTTAAAGAAATTAGGTTTCTATGTTAGGTTCAATAATCTTTCTTGAAAATATTTATTTTGGGGGGCTGGAAAAATAGCACAGTGGGTAGGGTGTTTGCCTTGCATGTGGCCGACCCAGGTTTGATTCCCAGCATCCCATATGGTTCCCCAAGCACTGCCAGGAGTGATTCCTGAGTGCAAAAGCCAGGAGTAACCCCTGAGCATCGCTGGGTGCAACACACACAAAAAAATTATTTTTAAGACAGAAAGATAGTACAGCTTTTAGGGCACTTTGCTTGCAAGCGGCTGACCCCAGTACCCTATATGGTACCCAGAGAACTGCCAGGAGTGACTCCTCACCAAAGAGCCAGAAGAATGCCCAGAGCACCACTGGATGTGGCTGCGATCCTCCCCCAATTATTTTTCTGTTTTTGATTTAGATTTAGTTCAATTCTATTCCATAATCTTTCTTTTTTCTTTCTTTTTTCTTTCCCTTCCTTCCTTCCTTCCTTCCTTCCTTCCTTCCTTCCTTCCTTCCTTCCTTCCTATCCTTTCTTTCTTCTTTCCTTCCTTGTTTTCTCTCTTTAGTTTTCTTTTTCTTTCTTTCTTTTCATTTCTTTTTCTTTTTGTTCATATCCATTCTGTGGTTGAGGATCTTTCCCGCTGATATTCTGGATATATAGAATCAAACCCAAGGCATCCACATGCAAAGCTTGTGTTCTAGTCCTCTGAGACATCTCCTTGGGCCCCAATTTATATGTTCTTTTTAGCTTTCATAATTCCTCTTTTCTTCATTTCCTTTGAAATATTTGCTTGTGGTTTTTGTGTTAAGTATACAGGAGTTTTCCTGCTGTGCCTTGACGACTACTTGTGTTTTCTTACTTCATTTTCCATAGAAGAACCGTGATTTGTTTCCTGTTGGTAAGACTTAAACTTATTAATTTAGCTTTCACATCCTCTAGGAGGGGTGAGTGGGCTAGGATAACTCAGGAGGTTTCCGTTTCCACACAGAATTGATCAAAACTTGTTCACTTTTGGAGATCAGCTGTCTCTGTGTCACTTCCTTTTAATCTGTGTCTCCTTTTCTATTTCT